CTTTCTTTCTCTCTCTCTCCCTCTCTCTCTCTCTCTCCCTCCCTCTCTCTCTCTTTCTCCCTCCCTCTCTCTTCCTCTCTTTCTCTCTCTCTCTATCTCTCTATCTCTCTCTATCTGTCTATCTATCTATCTATCTACCTATCTATCTATCTATCCTTCCCTACCGATTCGGTCGAGGCGACACGTTCGACGACGTCGTAGCCGACGATTCAACCTAGAAGTTTTCCCCTATCGCGCGATCCTCTATCGGGGAACCGATCGATCGATGACGGGCTTCCGGTCGCGAGAGGTCCAGCCGACGACGACAAGCTGGCCAGGAACGGTGTGATCGTCGGGTGGAAGAGGAGGAAGCTCCTGGCGAGCGCACCATGGGGAACGCCGCCGCGAAGAACCACTACTCGAAGAGCCTCGCCGTCGGCGCCGCGTCCAGGAGACCACGCTGGGAGGGATCAGGTTAGACACTGACTTTCCGATGTAGAGAACTTGCAGCTGTTACTGGTTTTTAGTGGAACGACGGAGTTTGAATTTTCGTTAAGAAGTACTTTGGATATTCTGAGATTTGGTGGAGGATTGCTAGCTACCACAGTCTTCGAGGTTTGATCGAGGATTGCTTTGGACGCTTCAAGATTTGGACTTGGATTACTTCATTTTAAGGTTTGGTTGAGAATTAGTTTGAACGCTACAAGATGTGGGGATTACTTCGAATGCTTCGTAGTTTGGCCGACCGTTGCTTCATACTCTTCGAGGTTTGGTTGAGGATCACTTTGAACGCTTCAAGAATTGGTGGATTACTTCACGTAGATTAAGAATTGCTTGAAAATGACTTTGAATGCTTCAAGATTACTTCGAATGCGTTAAAATCTGATCGAGGATTACTTCGGATACTAAAAAACTTTGTGTACTTCGAATGCTGCGTACTTCGGTTGAGGATTACTGCGAACGCTACAGACTTTGGCAGATTACTTTAAACGCTTCAGAGTCCGATTGAAGATTACTTGGAATGCTTCAAATTTTGGGAGGTACTATGGATGCTTCAAACTTCGGTCGAGAATCACTTTGAACGCTGACAGGATGTGTTTAGAGGATCACCGGATGTATATACGTGTCATCGGGCGCTAGCGGTCGCCATTTTGATTCAGACACTATGTGCAGGTTTATATTGATGCTGTGATTGAAATTGGGGATCGTTTTATTTATTGTTGTTATCGTTGGTGGTGCCTTCTTGGTGTTTCACTTGTTAGGATTCAAATGAAGATTTTAAAGGAATGGTAGAATTTTCGTTTAGACACGCGAAGCATCCGGCGTGACTGCGGGAGCTTCCGGTGGCCGAGCCTCGTCTCACGAGTGACGGTGCCTAGGTGTTTTCGGCCGGTTTTCATTGGCTCACCGCGATAGTGGGATGATCGCTATAATTAGACCGCCTCGGTGGACGGATCTGTCAAGATCGCGCAACGTTTGAGTGATCGGTAAATGAATCGACAATGGGGATCATTTTGGGGATGTTTTCGTTTTAGATGGATCTGTTGGTTTTTTATTGGATGATGATTGGTTTGAGAAAATGTTTGATGAGGTTTGAGGATAGTAAAGGGATAGGTGGAAATTATTTCTCGAGATTTTTCTGGATGGTTTGGGATGTTTTTGAAAGAATTCTCTGGAACTTTGTCTGGAAGTTCTGTATTTATTTATCGTCAAATCGACCGGTAATCCAAAATTAACTCGTACGCCTCGGGGGCGTTTATTTTAATAGTCGATGGTGGGTCTGTTGAAAGGTAGCCTGGATCTACGGGAATATGAAGTGAAAATTGTGTCTTGCTTGGAGGAAAAGATTGACGAATTCCTTTGACGAGTACATTTTGTAATTGTTTGTTCTTTCACGAATGATAGGTTAATTATAGACTAATTGATACCACGTAATTTTCAGAATTAACTGAGATTTAAATTAGTGCCATCTGTTTTGATTATATTATTTTGTCTCTTATTTCTAGCTAATTTAAAAAAAATATATTCATCTGGTTTGGAATTTATGTTCAAACGAATATGTTTAAGAACAGTTTTTTATTAAAATGGTTAATGAAATATTGTTTGTAATGTTGAAAGATTGCTGGTCTATATTCGATAACATAATTAGAAGAATAAGGATTTAATCAAATAAAAACGCTATTCATTTTCCCAAACGAGAAGCGAGTAAATCTCAAATTACTGTAGTTCTGTTTTCAATAAGATTAAAAAGTTAACAGCGAACACGTGGAAATTTTAACGTAAAAAATTATAAATTATCTTCTTTAACAAGATTAGATGATTTAGTTACAAAATTATAAATCGTTTTGTAACATAACTCAAAAACCAAGGATTTCTAAGTGAAAACACTCATTTTACCAAATGAGAAGCCAGATAACTAGCACCAATGTGAGCGTCTGCAATCAATTTAGAAAGCTAACAGCGAACACGTGGAAATTCTAACAATGTACAAAATTATAAATTATTTTTTTTCAACAAAATTAGATTATGTTGCTACAGAATGATATATTTTTTTGTAACATAATTAAAAAATAACAGAGAATACTAAATGAGAACACCATTCACTCGTACAGAATGAGAAAGTAGAACAACTGGTTGCTTCATTTCAAGGAACCATGTTCCCGAAGAGATACTCGTCCGCGATACCCATCTGTTCCCTCGCATAACATTTTAAGTAGCACAAAGTGAATCGAACAACGTTAGGCACGTCGTACAATTGTATCGAAGACGCGCCGAGCCGGTGTCCGATGTCGGCTAGGAGTCTCGCATAGTTTTCCCTACCCTGAGGACCGCGCAGCAGTGGCCCTCAGATTGCCAAACGATTCGAACTTTATTTTGGGAGCGCCACCTGCGGACCTGTGTCGAGAATGTGTGTTCTCCGCGTACATGAGCATCGTTCTGGCACGTGAGAGCTTTCCGTGAACTTATTAACGATCGAACTCCTCTATGTCATCCTCCACTTCTCACTTGGGCCGCCGTGTCACTCGAATTCGAGCGAAATACAGAAGGACTCCGATTAACCGGTGTTCACTGCAATCTAGATTATTCAGAGCTTCGGTTAACTTGATATTTAATCACAGTTTGGTCTGAATCACTATTGCTTCGATGGAATAAAATTATAAATGCATAATTCGATGTATAATAATTGATATATAATTGATATATGATTGTCATATAATTAATATGATGATATATGATTAACATATAACTGACATAGAATTGACATACAATTGACATACAATTGACATACAATTGACATATAACTGATATGTAATTGATATATACTTGATATATTCTTGGTATATAATTGAAATATACTTGATATATAATTGGTATATAATTAATGTATAAATGATATATAATATCAAATTTTGTGCAATGCACTAATACTCCAAACATGGAAATAGAATAGTCCTGCTTATTTTTAATTTTGTTAAGATTTCTCTCTTTGTCAGTTATAAAAGGAGTCATCGATATCTCATCAAAACATGGTGAATATTTACAGTGGAACAGATTGACAAGCATAAATGGTTAATAATTCGGATTTTTAAATTCTTAGAATTTTACAAATATATTTTGACAAATTTCTTTTCAAATCTCCATTCGTCCGGACTGTTCAACGCCCAATTTAATGGGAAAATCGATGTTCTACTGTAACTTAATATATATATTTGAAAATTGATTTCCTCAATGATATATCGAACAATCCGAACTTTGTTGAATCTCTGAGATGTGAGAAGGTTTAGAGAGTAATCATTGTTAAAAACCTTGACTTCTTAATTTCTGTTTACTTAGGAAAATGGTTTCGATTGGTGAGTAATTTTATGAGGCCAATTTGGCGATCAACGTGTTAGACAGATATGTTAGGATTAAAATACAATAAAGCTTCCATTGTGCTATCTCTCTCACGCGGATAGATGAAATAAACACGTCCTCACTGCCGTTATTTATTCGTCTAACTAATTCCGCAATCATCGAATTACAATGGAAGCAACTTTCCTAATAATACAGAAATTATAAAGTTAAGATTTTTTACTAGCAAATTTGGAGTTTCCTACAGTATTACATATTCTTTGATATTAAAGACAAACGGCATTGAAAATATACAGTATAAATATTAATATAAAAAAAGTATACCGTATAAAAATTACATATAAAACAAAACAGTTTAAATATTTTATTCTTACATCATTTGGCCTAATACAACCTTTTTGCTTCAAATTACCTTACCAAAATATTATAATAGACAATTCTTTCGTTTTACTTTAACAATTTCTCACAGATTACTTTTATTGTCTCAATTCCTGCTTCATCTCCAAATTATCTTACCAAAATCTTCCAAAAGGAAATTCCTTCATTTCATTTTAACCATTTTCTACACGTTAGCCACAGTACAAAGTCATACTGGCAAAGAGTTGTCAAGGGTTAACCGGTTAAACCAAACGGCGATTCCATTTTAGGGCTTCCAGCACCGCCAGGGAAGCCGATTTTAATACCGGGTGCGGACGAATCTCAGCCGGAGGTGGTCGCCATTCGTTGGGAGAGGTCACCGAGTAACGGTGGCTCGGCCATTGTCGGATACCTGGTCGAACACAGGAGGCTCGGCTCGCAGCATTGGGTACGCAGCACGACAGCGCTTTGCGCGTTCCCGGAACTGACCTTGAGCGGCCTCGAGCCCGGATGGCGCTACCAATTCAGGGTCAGGGCGCAGAACGCTGTGGGCCTCTCGCGGCCCAGCGAGGTCTCGGACCCACTGACGGTGACCTTGCAAAGGTCCGCCGCTTCCGCGCCGTCCTTCGAACTCGAGCTCAAGGACACGACCGTCCTTGAAAATGACCAGGTACTTGTACCACTAAATTCTTTATGATTAACCTTGCTACCTTCTCGGGATATTTAATTATGCACTCACTTTGTCATCGTTTTAATGGCATTAGATTTAATTAGCACATTTCCAGCTTAGCATGGAATAATTACATATTATTTAATAATTAAAAGAATATTATTAATAAGAATGTTTCTGGATTTGAGAGAAATATAAGTAAATACTGATTTGTATATTTCGTTCATATTTTTTTAGTAATATTGGAAATATTTGGATGAATTGTGAACCACAAGAGAGTGAATCCTAGATCTACCAAAATGATGTGTGTTATGCTTTATAGACATTTCATGAAATCTTAAGAATACTAGATTATTTTTGTAAAAGAAATTTGATTTTTCAAAGTAGAAAGATGGAGACAAGAATAAGTGAAAAGTTATCGTTTGTTTTTTATTCGCAGGCTGAATTTACAGTGAAATTCAATGGGTCCCCTCTGCCGAAGATCTCGTGGTTCAAAGATGGCTTCGAGATCTTCAGCAGCAGACGAACTAGGATCATCACGGACGGTGGGAAAAGTGTCCTTCTAATACATCAAACCGCGTTGAACGACGAAGGTGAAATTAAATGCACAGCCACTAACAGAGCAGGTCATACTAGTACCAAAGCTAGATTAATGCTGGAAGGTATGCAGGACATAAATTTTAATTTTATTTACTAAATATTTAATATTCAAATTAGTGAGATCGAAAAACTAGACATATACTTCTACGTATAGTAATTATTCTTACAATTTTATTACAAAATAAATAATTATTTACGTACTTCACAAGTTTACAAATTAAGTATTTTATTTTTTATTTACAAATTAAATGAAATTCTATTTAAAAAACAAGTGAAGTTTTATTTTATATTAACAAATAATTCTATTTACACCTCTGCCATTTCTTTGTGGTTAAATTAATGAATAATAAAATAGAAATATTAATTATGAGTTTCAATTGACTAGCGAATTCAAATTACTAGCACCTCCAAAGACACGACTACCACGCCAGTACGAAGATGGCCTTCTGTTCGAACAGGATGAGACGATGAGATTGAAAGTGTCATTAGCAGGTAGACCACCGCCATCTGTAACATGGTACCACGATGGCGAGGCAATTTCAGAAGATAGCAGACACATCTTGGAAACAATGGATAATGAATCGATTCTGAAGATACCCGACGCAAAACGAATGGACAGGGGGGAGTACACAGTTAAAGCCACAAATAAACTCGGAGAGGACATATCTTCGTTTTTAGTTACGGTTACAGGTTAGTACAAAAGTCTGTAGAAACTGTAGAAATAATAAATGATCGAAAACAATTATTTACACAGGTGTGTATATATTGAGGAATACAATCTTTTTTATCACTCGCATTGTATTAACGAAATTTACATTTTTTTTCCAGCTGCTCCTTTTAAAAACGTATTATTTCTGTATTACAAAGTTATTTGTAAAATTTTTAGACAGTATAATTACTGTTGATAATATCATTCACAAGAAACATTGGTTCTTACCTTGGAACTGTTCGATAAAAGTATATGTACTTTAAATAATTACTGATTATACTCTAAATTCATCAACAATTTTTCTTTTATTTAATTTAATGAAAATTATGGCTTTAACGTAAGTAAACCTTTCTTTCAAAATCCCGTATATTAATGAGAACTTTATTTTCAGATCGACCTGCTGCACCAGGTAAAGCGATGGTAACTATGACCCTAGGCAGGTCGGTGACGTTATCCTGGAACGAACCAGAAGACGATGGTGGTTGCAAAATAGGAACTTACGTCGTCGAGTATTACAGGGTAAGTTATAGAAAATGTATCGTGTCCGTCCGTGTGAAATCGATGTTCTTCTGATCGACGATTCACCGTTAGCGGTTTTACCTTAGGTCGGATGGGACGTTTGGCTGAAGGCAACCACCAGCAGGCAGACCAAAGCGACGATGTCCGAACTGATCGAAGGATCAGAATACAAATTTCGAGTGAAGGCTGAGAACCCTTACGGCATGAGCGAACCCGGCGAAGAGAGCGATGTGATTTTCATTCCAGATTTGAAAAGAGGGTGCGTTTAATTGAAAACAAAATTTGTATGGATACAAGAAACATTAAGTTTTTAATTCAACTGTGTTAATCTAAAACTCTAAGCTTATTATATTTTAAATTGAACCACATATTTTAAAAAATATTTTCTTCCTTGTCTATATCAATTAAAAGAATTACTTATTGTTGCTTACATTTGTTGCATCCCAAATTAAAGACAACCGATTTCAAATGTAAAACCATTAAATTCCAATTACTATGACAAATCATTTCATACAATTTTAAAGAAGTAAGTTAAAATTATTGAAACGAGTTTGATGTAGTATGCGAAGTAATTAATAGAAAATTTCGCTGCTTTCATTTACTGCAAAGCGCATAAATTAATTGATCTGTTAGTTTTATGGTTTAAATATTCATTTTTTTCCATTTTGGAGACAGTATAGTGACACCTTCCCTGGGTGGGAAGTCGCAGAGTCACCGCGAAATCAGATCACGTGAGAAAAGAGAGGTAAGCTTCGCAGTGCCGACTCAGAGAACCAGAAGCTTGACGAGGGAAGAAGGACGAGCGCGAGATGAAGATGACGAGGGACGTTTCGGACCGAGCAGTCGATCCGTATCAGCACAAAGGCTCAGCAGACCGTCCAGAGCAGACAGTAGAGTTACGTTTGCCCTGGACACGATGGACAAGACGGTGACTCCCGTGCCACCAACCAGGTTAAGGGATCATTCCACTTCAAAGCACGACAGTAGGGCTGATCTTCACGTGGAACATTCGAATATTAGTGCAGACGTAACCGAGGTAGGTAATTTCACTAATACACTGATTTTTTATACTATTATTATTTTTGTATTATTAGTATTTAGTATCTACTTTATTAGTAAGTGATCAAGGAATTTTTTCGGACAGACTTTCAGCGACGAGAAAGACACTGTAACAGTTTCTATGATTCCTGCAACCGTGCCAGTGCTGCCACCCTTAACAGACGAATCTAGTAAACGTTCAATGTTCAGAGAATCTCGCTCGCGGTCAGTCTCCGTTTCAAGGGAGCGCAGCATGTCTCCTTTATCGATGCCTAAAATCCAAGAAGAAGAGGGTTCTCCGGACACAATACGTCCCGTTCGTCCTCAGATAAATATATCGTTAAGGAAACAACAAGCTATCGTCGACGAACCAGAGCCACCCTTCATAAGAACTCCTTCGGTGGAAGAAAAACCAAATTCTCCGGTAACACCTAGAGAAGATGACGAAACCGTGTTGCATGGTAGCTCAGAGTTTATGTTGGTATTGTACACCGAAGACCAAGACAAGAAACTCGTGGACATTGATGGCAGGCCGAAAAGTTTAGGTAAATTAATACCAATTAATTATTAATTCATTTTTCAGGAATCGTCAGATGACTTATGTTTCTTACGTCATAACAAATTTTCTTAATTATGGTACTGACATACTGCCACATTCTTTGCATTTTTTTCTCTATATTTTAATATATTTCACTACAGTTTCTCTTTAAATACTTCAAAAAACTAAATAACTAAATTTTATTGTTTACATTTATAATCTTCGGTAACACAAAAAAATATCAAATATTCCAAAGGGAATTACGACGAAGTAGCTGAAAAACCAACATTATGTCCACAGAAACGAGACAAAGCGCAACCGAAGAAGCCGAGGAGATGGAAGACCTCATCCCGCCACCCATGTCACTCTCTCTGCCAGAACTATTCAGCGTGGAGCATCAAGTAGTAGAAACTCTCCGCGAAGCGGTCAGCTCCACGGAATTGCTACACGAGCGAGCAATGGAGCGATTCTACCGAGCAGTGGCAGCGGAGGAAGCCTCTGAGATAGCTAAACGAAAGCAACAACTCGAAAGAAGGACCGGCGAACTCGCCACAACCGTCGAAGAAAAGACAGAAACAGATGTAGACAACCAAGACACCCTGCGAACCTCAATCCTACGCCGACTGTCCAATCCCAGTGTCACTGCGCAGAATCTAATCACCTGGCAAGCGAAGAGAAACCGTCGAAGATCAAGCGAAGGTCAAGCAGAAACGATCAAGTCACCCCTAAAGGAACTGATCACCCCGAGTTTGCTGTCTGCAGTGGAAGCTAGGTCAGACCCCAACTTGCCTAGTGATTCGGAGACTCCAACAGGTGTCTGGGGGCTGGACAAGGAGGCGGACGCTGCCACGCAGCTGCGCAGGTGGCACGACAGTAATGTACCATTGGTGGGCGAGGAACAAGAGGAAAGATCAATGCTAATAGAAACCGATGAACTCACATCGCGTAACAGAGCTATGTCTCCAACAGCCCAAGCAATCGGTCGAGCAGATTCTCAGCAGGAGGAACTTGAAGAGGAAGAAAGCATCGAGAGCTTGGAAGAATCCGAGTCTGAGGACATCAGCAGCGCGGACAGCGAGGACCTGAAACTGCTAAAGGCCAGAATCCTAGCCAGGCAAGTGCTAGAAGAAGAGGACACCTATCATCCTAGAGGAAGACCGGTTCCCCATGTCGAGCCTGACTTGCTTCCACCTCTTAAAATACCAACTGTAGATATCACACCACCCACACCTAAGTCTGTTCCAGCTTCACCGACGGGAGTCATTCCGAAATCGATATTGAAGAAGCGTAAAGAGGAACCTATCCCAGTGAACAGCTTTGGCAGACCAATTCCTCCAGAGAAACCTGTTAGGAAAATCTTACCCGTTCAATCTGTGGAGCCAATGATCTCTACAGAAGGAGATACTACTGACAGAGAAGAAATTAGAACGCCTGAACCACCTAAGACACCAATTTTATCGGAATCTGATACGGATAGCGTATTGTCAGCTGGCGAAGCAGCGAAAACTCGGAGGATCCAGGCGAAGATGCGGACTACGACGTCCGAGGAAGAAGTTGACGAGGAAGATCACGAGGCAAGGATGGCAGTAGTGAATCATTACACTGAGATCGTCAGAGAACATTCGAGTCGATACAATTATCGTAGTTCTGAGGAAAGAAAGTTCGACAGCAGAGCTAGCTCTAGAAGATCCTCATTCTCAGAAGATCAAGAGGTGAAGACCCAATTAAATAGAGAACGGCCGGAAACATCAACGCCTGGACAAGTGATCAAGAGGCAAGACTCTAAAGAAGGGGCAGAAAAAGTGGAACAGAAGCCGCGAGGAATAATGAAGAAAGGCACCAAGATCGATAAACCAGAGGTACAAGAAGATCAGAAACCGAAAAGAACCGTTGGTTCACGCGGAACGACGCCTGCTAGGGAGATTAAAGCTATCAAAGACAGTCAACCACGTCGACCTCGGTCCAGAAACGAGTCTCCAGCACCCAGATCGAGAAACGTGTCGAAAGATAGAGGTGAAACTTCCTCGAGATCATCTTCGAAGACCAGAGTCCGTGCTCCTTCGCAAGAGAGGAAATCAATTTCGAGGACGGGGTCTGAGGAACAACGATATAACAGAGAAAAGTCAGTTGACATTGAGTCTAGACAATCGAGGAGACCTTCTCACTCAAGGTCTAGCTCTAGGGACAGAATCAGGCCAGAAACGCCGGTGAAGATAAAGGTGGAACGTTTGCAAAAAGCATTAGAGAGCAAAAAGTATCGTTCTTCTAAACGAGGTTCCAGAGCTGAATATTCGGAACAGGGTCGACAGAACGACGAACAACTAGCGCTGGAGGCTACTAAGAATGTTAGATTCACAGTTGATTACGTCACGGACCTAACATTGCTAATGGCAGCTGTTTACGTGTATTTGTTTAAGAAAGAAACCATGGCGATTCCCTTTATAGCGCTTCTTTTATATAGGAGAATTCAGCATGAGATAAAAGGGCGGGTGTCTGGCAGATGGTGGTGGTCCAAGGAGAAGAAATGACATTTGAAAAGATTACTTTTAGGATAAGAGATTGCTCGCGATCAGCTGGTTATTGAGAAAATGACGAGCAAAGGATCACCGTAAATTAGGAATTTTCTATACTTGGATTTTTGAAATTGAGCAACGGAAGGGTGTTTGATTCAACGTTAGATTTGAATCGAAAAGATTTCTCGCCATAACTTAAACCGCGGTCTTCGGATCCGTCATGGGGGCCGGCTACACTTGTCCAGCGATAAACGTTCAAATTTGCAATTGGAAATGTTTTGAATGATTTAAGAGATGTGGAGGGTTGAAATCGCTCGAGGGAATTTTTATTTTAAGAATGCTAGGTTATGTTTGATAACAATAATTTAATTTTGACGATTTTTGGGTGTATTGAAATGTTAACGGCCTTGAGCAACCTTGACCAGCTGACGAGTTTCTTCGGATTTAAAGAACTTTCCGATTTCGTCGATAAATTCTTAAGATCGTTGTAGCATAACAATGGCAACGACAGATTTGGGAGCCAATAGTTCCCAGTCAATTCTTGTACTCCATTTAGAAATTATACCAAAACGAGTACCAAAGAAGATAGAATTAATATATGTATACGTGTTAAGAGAGTAATTACTATTGACAGTTGCCTATTATTATAATTTATTGTTATTTATTCTTATTTATTATGAATTATTCTTACCGACTTTACTCGTAATAAATATCTATAAAATTCTGTTGAATTTGAACCATGCGTGTGTTTCGTTATTTTAGTTCTTTCTGTAACCCTGCTTCAACAACCCCCATATTTTATAACACATTCTTCGAACCATCAAATCGGAATTATTTTTTTCCTGCAATGTAAATTAGAAGTTCTAAAAAGAAAACCACCAATTTCATTTACTTAAAAGTTTTAATTCTTATTTACAATTTGTTACAATTTGCAATTTTATTTGCAATTCTTATCAATTTTCTGTGACCCTACATATAACACCTTTAGTAGTCATTTTGATAAAAAATTGATTCATAAAAATCCATCAAATCATTAAAAATACAGAATAACTTTTTTTTCAAAAATTCCTTTTTTCTTTACGAACTTTGACAACAAACAAACCAACAGAAACACCGTATATCTCAATCTAGTTCCTCCACTACAAAGAAAAAGAAACAAATTCCCAAAAACCTTCTTTCAAATTCCTCTCCTTTTTGCATTGTTGCATTTCACGAAATCCTGACCAACGACAACCATTCCTCTCGTAACCAACGATCGCATAATCCTACATCTGACCAGGCGACGTCCAAATCTTCGCATAAATCCGCGCATCGAACGATGCGTATCCATACTCTCATTTCAAAATAGACTGCTCTATCTGCATCAAATAACCATTACCCAATTAATTTCATCAATCTTTCGATTAACATTAATTAACCGTTGACCAACGAAGGTTTTTTACAGTACCCAAAATCACTATCACAAGAAGATAAAAGAAAGAAGGAAGAAGAAAGCAGAAAGAAGAAAACTATATACTAATGTTCCATTATCCAAACAACTAAACAATTTCCTTTCAAGTATCCTCAAAATATTAACAATCCCCAAATAATGAATCCTACCAACAACTCAGCCCTAAAATTTCCCACATTTAAACAAACAAAATACAAAAATGATCACACAAATGCACAATGAAAAAAACTTCAATAATTGCAGCAACATCGATTAATTATCCATTGACAAACCAATCTCACACACAAACACACTACCCCAACGATACAAATCGGTTAAGCAGGCCAAAGAAAGCGGACAGAAGTGGGAAGGAGGTGAAGAGAGTGCCCGACTTCGTCGGCGTCGCCGTCGCCGTCGCCGTCGTCGTCGTCGTCGTAAAAACCGTCGGGTGAAAGGGGAAGAGAAAGAGGAAGAGGTTAGAGGCGTAGGAAGAGAAGCTTGCCGCGCGGCGACCGCGCATGTGCGCGTTTCGTTAAAACGACGAAGCCGAGTGCGCGGTGTCGGGACGATTTTAGACCGGAGCAGGGCCTCCTGCCGTCAGATTTCGTGGCGCACAGGGTGTGCTGTGCCACGGGTCAGGAGCGCGGAGAAGAGGTCGCCGGAACAGGAAGATCGGCCGCCGGTCGGAGGCGCACCCGGGGTGAACGAGACACGCAAACACGCGAGGTCCGCCCGGCGAGAGGGACAACGCAGATCGCCACCACCGCTGGGATTCCCGCCGATCACCGAACGAACACGCCGCCGCCGCGCCGCGGAGTGATGTCCATGCGAGGCGAAGTCGGTCTCCGTATCATCTGACGAGATGACCTTAACAGGTAAGAGAGCCGCATCGGACGCCGGTCACCGGCGTCTTTAACACTAGGTTTATTACGGACGTTCATTGTACGGTTTATTCTATTGTTTCCAGAGAAATCGATGTTCGTTTGTTTAGATCTTTGGTGGAAATTAGGGATTTAAAAATATATTGCGGTACATATTCGTGTAATTGCATCGATCAACGTAAACATTTACCAAATAACATTTATCGGATTCGATATGCGTCACATTGCCGCGTTCCGTAAACCTAGTGTTAACGCTCCTTTGGTCGGTCTCAATCTTCGTAGCATTTTAACCCTTCGAGGAGGTACGTGTACTTGGCGACATGGTTTTATACCTGGAATGCGATGGCATTAATAATTTTGTTACTTGGGCGATAATGATAGGATCATTATGTAGCATTCTTTTCCTCTGAGATTTGGAAATTTAATAGGTACTTCAGGTTTCCTCAGATTTTGGATAGGATGGAAAGTCTTCATTCGTAAGAAGCTAGTATCTGTAAACTTTGGAATCTTAATTTCAATGTTGATGTTAGTGTTCTTTTATGAATGTAGTTTCAATTTTGTTGATGCGTATCATCCTTATGAACTTAATGTTACGAATGCGAGTGTTCTCTGTAATGTTACCTTCAATGTTGCTGATATGGGTGTTCCTCGTAAATGTGACTTCAGTGTTTGTTAGATGGGACCGAGTTTTCTATTGATTTCTTGATTTAGATGCCGGGAGCATGTTAAAACAAAGGGGGTGTAGTATTCCATTAATAGTGCTGTATCATGGGAATTTTTTCCATTGAAAGATTGGAGTATGGAATATATGGTAAGCTGGCGGAGCAAGGTGGAAATATTGCAAAGGCAGTAGCTGTTTGCGAACGTGTTAACGTTTGGGTTTACGGAATCCATTAAATCGATGAGTGTTCGGTTTTCTGAATGTTATTTGAGGTAATCCTTTGCCAACGTGATTAACTCTGCGAAATGTAAAGTAGAGGAATTTGATGGAATTAGATGTATGAACAAGTATTCAAGTGTTCAATATTAACGTTTGATTATGTGAAAAAGGTGGAGTTAATTAGTTTCACCTGCAAACGAATCAGTTGATAAAAGTTTGTCTTTGTTTTTTAATTTACAAGATCCGTATCAACGAACATCAATCTTTTTAAGATCAATAGAATAAAGTATACAATGAATGTACGTGTTGAAACTTTAATGGACTCTTTTTGTAAAAATGGTAGTCATTTTTTCAAAATTCTTACGTTTATGTACGACGTATTTGTTATTACAAAGTTCCGAGAGGAACTTTACAGATCCCCTAAATATTGAAGCAGAAGTGGCTAGAACTTAGGAGACTGGAATACCGTACGCACGGTTGAGAACCACCGCGCTTTGATTTTTATTATTTATTATTATGAGTAGATATATCATGAAATCTCGGTGGACAAAAGAAGGTGGGACATGAAGAAGCTTATTTAGGTTTGTTAATAAATATGGTTTCCTCAGATAGAATATTACAGTTCGCTCCTTTAAGAACGAGGGTATGATCAAACATCGATGTCGTAATAGAATGAAAAAACGTCTTGAAACTTCGAATGTTTAGGAAGAAAAAAAAGATATGAATCGTTTCGGTGAGTTTTCACAGCGTAATGTTTGGTCCTTAAGTCGAGATGAGCTGGGGATTGCTGGTTTGATGACATTCGTTAGGGAAAGGTTAATAATATCGATGAAAACGTCTTTATTTAGATCGAAATGTTGCGGGAGTTTTAAGCGGTTTCGACGAGGCGTGGAGGTTTTGTGCTCATAGGAAACGCGTGTATAACGATCAATTTATCACTAAACAAGTAATAGACCACAAAAGAGCGAAATGTTCAATAAATTCTAATTGAAATACATAATTATTTCAAAGACACTTACAGAAACGTTCACGAAAATAGAGAGAAAAATATGAATTAATCGGTTCGTGATCGATTACGTTCGGTATTGTTTATTTTTTACAGTATTTATTTATCCCAGTGCCGGCGAGAAGCTGCGCGCGTGCGCGGGGAATTCCAATCGCGGCGATTGGCACGAAATTTCGCGAGGGGAGGCTTTTGTCGAACGCAGGGATCGTTCGGTGAGAGTGTCTCCCGTTTTATTATCTTAAGCGGTTTCCCTCCGGCGTGTTTTCCTCCGCACAGGTATCTATATTTATGCCGCGACGTTTACGTGCGTGTAGTACCGTTTCTGTAGCGATTTCGGTGACCACGTGACCACCGAAATACCAGGTAGTTCGCGAATAATAAATTTTCGCCTACGGGCTAAGCGCGACGTTACGGCGCACTGCGCGAGATCTCGACGGTCTCGCTCGTGGATTACAGATAAATTATTGTTATGAATAATAAGTTGACGTTCGAGAAGTCGGCGTTAAGACAAATATATTTTTCACTGGTTTCTTTGACAGTCGTGGATATAATTTGAATTAGTTAATCTCTCATTATCTGATTCTTTTGTATAGGAATTTTCCTGGAGGTCGTTGGTTAAAATCAGGTTTTAAGTTAAATCTCTTTTATACAATAGTTTAGAAGATAGATTCTGTGCCGAAGAACTCAAAGAAGATCGAAGAAGTTTGATGTAGATGATTTTAGGTCAAGTTTTTCGACAAAATTGGATTTGAATGTATTCGATCTCAATGTGAAATATTATGTTTCACGTAATTTCAATACAAGTTTCGAACAAAATTAATTACTGAATTATTTGCGATTGTTTTTTTCAGAATTTGAATCAAGTAGTGCTGGTAGGAAAGTATTTATAGCTTTAAGGAAGGAATAAAGGAATGAAAATGATTAACAGATTAATTTTGTAAAGGTAGTTTAGTTGTGCGGCGTTGCTTTGTAAAAGTGACGTTCACATTGGTCGCGCGCATTTTCGTGGCACATTAGTAATGACCCATTTTATTATGCAATGTTGGTGCTCGCAGATTACACGACGAAAGCCAAGGGACCACCGCAATGGCTGGAGCCAGACCAGGTCCTTACGGTTCATGGGCGCGCAGGGGACGATACAGTCATCGAACCGAAACTACGATGGTCCGACGTTTTCGACGAGCTACGATTCGAACTGTGAGTACATTTTACCCTTTTACAATTGTTTCCGAGCTACTGTTTAAATTCTAAACGTTGTATCTTAACAATTTAACGCTGGAAATTGAATGCTTGTTAAAATAGATACTAACTGAAAATCTAATAATAAAATTCTTAAAACTCTTAAAATCCTTAATATTCTTAAAATCTTTAAAAAAAACGCTAGAAATTTAATACTTAATAAAATAGATACTAACTGAAAATTTGAACGTTAAAACTATATTTCTTCTTTTCATTTTCAAAACTGTTTTCTTAGACATTTTCTGAAAATCAAAATTTGAATGAATGCACTCTTCTGATTCGTATGAGAGGATTAAGTCAATACAATAAATAATTCTAATGTTAACGTATCACTGTTAATACTAGAGTTTTAACAAATGATAAAAATACATAACATTGAATTCATTACAGCTTCACAATTTTTTCTTCACTCAGAGAATTGAAACTAAAGCGAAACTGAATTACTGATCGACCTCTGAAACATTAAAAAATAACGAAAATACATACCAATATTTTATTATTCGAATAACTCAATAATTTTCCAACAACATTCAATAGTAGATACAAAAGCCAATAATGCCAATATGGCGGTCATCATAAAACAGTGAAATATATACCAAAAACATTGCCACTATCGATATCGAGATCCTACTTACGTAACAAGGATAATTATAAAGTAACAGAAGAATCTTCAACGAACTCATCGAAGTACATCGAGTAATCGAAATGAAGATCGGTATCGTTGTTACCGATAGAAGTTCACGACCCCCGCGCCATTCTTCTTCTAGTACTATGGACTACTTATTCCACGCTGTCGTTTACACATTATCGTTCATTCTCGACTATTGGCCCTAATTTCAGTGGAAACCTTGAAACGTGCCAAGGATCAAACGCAGTTTATTTCGAGCTGTCGCGCACTTAATTTTCACGGAGGACCAAATTACACTCTCGTCTCGTGTAATCGCATTACCGGTTTTCGCTTGTACATACAGCAAAATCGCGCGTAACGCGACAGACAATGAATATTTTTCAAAGCCACCGTATGCTCCCGTGTACCACCGAACTTCCCTTAAATCGTGCGAGGATCTAAAAATAAATACTTAACCTTTTTTTCTGTGATTCTTTTCGCAACCGAGCTTGACGAAACTATTATAATATCAATATTTCATTAGGAAAAGAAAAGAATCTGATACTGATTTTGTATCTACGTTGCTCTAAAGGTTAACGATCGATAATAGAAAAGTATCGTTTCATTTACATTCAAAAGAAGCAAATAACGTTTAGATTCGTCGACTTCGGTTTGAAACACTCATTACGAATGTGACACAATATTATAAAACAAGATTTTAAGGAACAAATTATCGTAATTACTTTCTGTTTACTGAAATGCGTCATAGTCCATAGAAAATAAATTAATTTTCTTACTACGTAAAGATTTCTCTGATTATATTAATAGAAATCGCAAATAAGTACCTACTTACCAAAATTTGGTAATTTAGTTTGAATTAGTAATTATTGGGTAATCTTTTCTTAATAATCTGGTTATTACCATAATTTTGTAAGCAGTCTAGGAAGGTGAACGATTCGGTGCATAGGCATTTGAACGCTTATTTCGGGAACGCGAGACATGACCTCATCTAGCCTCGCCGCTTAAATAAGACAAAGTCTTATGTCGGATCGAAGGTGGTAATTGTTGTCTTTTATAGACTATTCGTCTTCTGATTCATCCAGTCTGAATCTGCTCGGTCCGTCAGCCTGTCCGTCGCGTTCGTGTGGACATACGGATTATCCCGGTGCAAGCGGAATCGTATCGCTTATGATTTATGTGCTTGCTTAACGTCAGAACCTCCGCACCTGCTGAAATCACCGGTCCCGATTTTCTTACTTTGCAATTACTGAAATCGTAAAGGTGTTTCCATTGGAAGCTGTTTGTAAAATTCATATTTTAATTCAAGTGTAACACAGAACAGTACTTTAATTAATTTATTAATATGTTCAATGTTAATCATTTTAAGTATTAGGACATTATTGCGTTGATCCTTGTTAGTTTCCCTATTGTTATGAATATCAAAAAATAAAAATATAAAAAAATATTTTGAGAGGATGTGGTATATACCAAGAGTAATAGGCGTTGAATAAAGACTATAAACGTTATGATATAACTATTTCTTTATTTCCATTAAACTTTGTTTTCACATAAAAATAGCTAGATCTCAATTATAACGAAAACGAGTTTGATAAATTGTCGTTTTCGCTCAATATTCTCTTCAGATCGCTTAAAACCCTCGAAAACAATGGTTTGACATAGCCCCAGAAACTAAGAAAAGAATGACGCTGCATGTTTCGCAAAACACACGGCATCCAAAAACAAATTAATAACCCCAACAATTTCACATTTCAAACATTTCCGACCACCTTGTGCGTGTCGTATCATATCTCTAAACTGCATTCTTTTATAAACGTTTCTGGACCGAGAAAATACTAATTCAAAGTGTTCTAAAAAAACTAGTAATAAAATGAGGAATAAAAATCAACAATAAATAAAATTAATAAAAATAATCTATTAATACAAATTTTGAATGGCATCGGATAACGAAATCATGCGGTCACGCTTTCACAATTTCTACGAATTTCAAGTTCAACAAATCCTGAGTCACATTCGTCAAGCTGACGACGATCCTTTCGAAATCGATAAATGTTATATAACGGTGGCAATAATAAATCTCGGAAACATCAGGATCCACATATGTAACGTGTGCCACGAAACCGAATCGTCGCCCGTCATTCTTGATGATTCTCTGGCCGAGCCATTCAGACGTTAGAAAAGCCGTGACGACGGAAACGTTTTTCCCGCGAACTATGAAAATCTCCGTGTCGCACAGTAGTCCGAATTGCCGGAAAAAGATCGTGAAATGATTTTTTTTATTCATCATAATATTATTCTACAATTTCGTATATTCCAAATCGACAAAATATCAGTGAACCATTCATTAGCTTCACGTGTTAAATTCACATTTAGAAAATCCGTAACCTACTACTTACACTTACACAAATAATTTTCGTAATTTATTTCACTATCAATGAACTTAATACCAGTTACAATCGTATACTCTACATGTAAAAATTGAATTAATGTTACAAATATTATCATTCAAAGGTGCAAGATGAACAAATGACTAACTACCGCGACCTTCAGTTACAAAACAAATTTGGTCCTTATAACACATGTGTAAGTACCAAACGTGTTACAATATTATATGCAGTTACACTCACTCTTCACTCGTATTCATCCACTATCGATTCCCAACATTCTCCCTCTTTTATCCTACAATTTGGATCACCGTGATGTTGACGTTTCCCGGCAAGCGCGCGCGCGCTTGGTCCGTCCGTCGTGGCGCGCGGCGTCTAAATTCGACCGAGCTCCGAAATTTTCGCGAAAAGACGAAAGAGGCGCTGACTCCTTGAGAGTAGCAAGCATCCGGCTCTCTAGGATGCTGCACGCTGGTTGCTTATAGTTTTCTTCGAACTATAGCGGAAGGTGGCGGTGACGTGGAGGTGGAAAATCGGGCGCGGACGACCTGGCGCTGGCATTTCGCTATCAGTCTTCCGACGAGGGAGCGTCGCGACGATCGACGAGCGGCCAAAAAATCCGCCTCCGGATCGGTACCAAATTCTCGCGGCGGTTTGCGATCTACCCGTAGATCGGTCGATCCGGAAACCCGTGGACCGCGACGGGATCGCTCGGCGATCGGACGCCACCCCCTCTAAACCGCTCGCAACCCCTATTCTCTAACGAACAATTTTCTCGTCGGTCCTCAACCAACCAACCTGCAAAGCGTGTAACACGAATAAACACAAGTCAAATTCAACGTGAAATAGTTCGAATATCGCTTATTACTCGGTTTCCTGGGTTAATTCTGTCAGTGAAGGAAGATACCAGGAAAAGCTATCGCTTCTTGTATAGTCTCTCTGACTGGTTTGGTCAGTGAAGGAAAATACTAGAAACAGTTCAAATATTCTTTATTATACAGTTTCATTGGCTAATATTGCCAGTGAAAGAAGATACTATGATTGTTGTTCCATTGGTTAATTTCTGTTAGTGAAGAAAGATACTAAAAACACTTCAAATATTCTTTATTACACTATTCTCCAGTTAATCCTATCAGCGAAGATTCTAGAAAAAGTTCAAATATCAGTTCCTATACAGTTTTCCTGGCTGTCAGTGGAGGAAGACAAGTGTCAAGCCGGAGTTCTTCTAGAAATCAGGTGTCCCTTATAATCGAAAGCGTTGGTCGATGTTAAAAGTTAGATTATTGGCCAGGGTCGCTCGAAAGGACGCTAGTCGGGTTTATTTTAGCGGGCCCGTCGGTGGCGCGTCTCCTCGACCAATATTGCCGTGACACCGCGCCGGAGCGGGGATGACAGCGTTCGACTGACGCGCGCGCCCGTTGATCCCTCCGTTACTGAAATATCGACGACGCGTAGCGGCGACGCGACGTGATCCGTGGACGCGGACATCAATGCGTCGATCGGGATTCCGCGACGCCTGGTGGTACACGGTGCGCCGTATGCGGGACCGCGCGACCGGTATGCGCGGTTCGACGGACTCACGAGTGATAGGTGGTGAAAGGTTCGGCAGTGGTTAGAATCTTGACTCGTGAGGAGGGTGGTCGGCGCCAAAACCCCGCTGCCGGTTCAGTATGGGAAGCGACTGCTGCAAGTGCGCCAATGGCAACAAACCCGCTATCACTGGATCGTTTTCCGATGGATCGGAACGTCGGTAGGGTGCAGACACGTGTTCCGGGATAGGTCGGGGTGAGATGGAACACTTTCTTTCTTGAGGAACTGTTATGTCAGAAATATTGTTAACAGTGGAACTACTATACCCTTCGGAATGACGGGTTAGTTTTCTTATTTCATAATTATTGGTAATCTTGCGCAGAAGTTTGTTTAACTATTTCTCCTATATGCATTCACTT